CCCTCTCTCTTTCTCTTTCTCTGTTTTCCCATTTACTACTATATAGTGCCCTTCTTTAACTCTTCTTACAGTTTTTGTCTTAAAGCATTTTTTGTCTGAAATTAGTATTACGACTCCAGCCCTTTCTTGATTTCCATTTGCCTGGAATATCTTTTCAGGCTCCTTATTTTTAGTCTACGTATGTCTTTATCCGTAAGCTGTGTTTCTTGTAGGCAACAGATAGAGGGTTTCTGTCTTTCTGACTTTAGTTTTCCTGGTATAGCACTCCATTCAGAACTTCTTTTTTTTTTTTCGGAGAGGCTTTTTTTCACTATAGGGCGCATGCGCTTGCCAGACAGACAGAGAGAGACAGAGAGACAGAAGGCGAGAAATCACCCCCCAGGGGGGATGGTCACGCTGCAATCCCTTCTCCTCCATTCTCCTCTCGGGATCTTGGGCATGCACGCACACACACACGGCGTGAGTTTTAAGCCACCGGGTCTGGGACTTGAACCGTGGTCGACTACGTGGGAATCCAGCGACATAGCCATTACGCTAACTGCTGGTTCCCTCCATTCAGAACTTCTTGAAGAGCTGGCCTGGAGTTAAGGATTTGTTTATCTGAGAATGTATTTATCTTTTTTCTTATATAAAGGATAATCTTGCTGGGTATAGTAATCTTGGTTGAAATAGTTTTTCATTTAATACTTTGACTGTATTTCTCCACTCTTTCCTTGCCTTCATTGTTTCCAATGAGAGATCCGAGTTAGCCTGATGGGATAACCTTTGTAAGTAACTTGACATTTCTCTCTTGCCAATTTTTATATCTTGTCTTTGTCTGTGGTTTTGTCCAATCTGACTATGATGTGCCTTGGAGAAAGTCTTCTTGGGATGATTCTATTTGGAGGTCCTCTGTATATCTTGGGTCTGGATATTTGAATGCCTCTTTAGGTTTGGAAAGTTTTCTTCCAGGATTTCATGGAATAGATGATCAATATCCTTATTATTTTCTTCACCTTCTGGGATGCCAATAATCTAGATATTTGGGTGCTTGGTGGTATCTAGTATTTCTCATATATTGTCCTCATTTTTCTTGGTTGTTTTTTTTCTCAATCTTGATAATTTTTTCTAGGTCAGAAGTTTTGTCTTCTACATTCGAGAGTAGATCTTCTGTATGCTCTAATCTGCTTTTAATACTTTTGAGGCAGGTTTCAATTTCCTGTATCACAGTCATCATCTCTAACAATTCTATGTGATTCTTTTTTTATGGTGTGTATTTCTTTTTTCAAGTCATGAAAGGACTTCCTCATCTTCTGGAGCTTGTTGTCTGTTTTTTCTTGCACCTCATTTAATTTGGTCACTATAAATATTCTGAATTCTTTATCTAACAGTTCCACGAGTTCCACTGTGTTTTCTGTGAATGATGGGGAATTGATGTTTTACCTCAGGTGAGAAATATTTTCTTGGTTGCTCATATTTCTTGTGCCTCTACAATGGTTTTTAGTCATCTGGTGATTTATTCACTCCTTTCTAAATTCTTTGAGTTAATTCTGCGTTCAAAGGCATGCGCGAGTAGGTGATAGGCTGTACCTCCCTGAGGCTCACCACCAACCTGCACTGTCATCACTCATCTTAGCTGATTCAAAGTCCTCCCAGTTTCTAGAGAACAGGTGTGCCTGAGACTGAGCTGCTGAGCTTGAATTCAGGAACACAGATGGGGCCATACACCATGCCCATGTTGTGCAATTTAAAAAAATGCTGAAGTCTTAGAATTCAGGATGTGTGGCAGGGAATAAACCACAGTCTCTTTGCAACTCAGTCTCCCCAAGCAGGAACAAATGTATGGATGGAGAAGGGAGAGGCACAAGGTAACATAGTACCAGGCAACATACCTGAGAGTTCAAAGGTGAGTGAGTGGCCACAGGCAGCCTGCCATATGACAAAGCCCTTCGCTGGAATGGGTGTCTGGATGGAACAGGGAGAGACACAAGGTTGTCTCAAAGTCCCAAGCAATCCACCTGAGAGTTCAAAGGTGAGTGGGGGTGTGGGGGGGGGTGAGCCACAGGTCTCAGCTGCAAACCTTCCACGTGTAGGCAGCCTGCCAAAGGGCAAGGTCCTTCACTGGAATGGGTATCCAGATCAGTTTAGGGTTTTTAATGTATAGATAATCATTATTTTTATTTATATTGAGACCCAGAACCCAGTACCTTTGGTACTATCCCCACTCAGTACACAGTGGTCCACATAGTAGTAGATGGTGGATAAATGTTGGAGGCAGGAAGGAGGTCTTGAATCTGGTTTGTGCTCCTCAGGTGATAGGCAGGGAATCTGAGGCCAGAGATGGAGCTTCCGGGGTTACCTAGCAGGTTAAGGTCACTCTTTTCCATGGTGTCCTAAGTTCCATGGAGGTGGTTCCTGGACATACTATCTTTAGGACATACTATCACTATGAATGTGGCCACAGGGGACAAGCCCTCTATAGGTAGCCATGGTGTCAAGGACTTGGCTCCTATGCACCTGAGATGGTCACCAGCTGAAACTCAGTGACCAGTTTTCACCTCTCCTGTCTTACTGCTTGCCTCTTGCTGGCCAGCATCCTCCCATGAAGATATATATCCCGCCAGCTAATGTGGCCTTCCTGTGACATGGAGCCATGACTGCATAGATATGGTTTGGATTGGTAAAAATGCCAACCAGAGTCAGGCACATGAGTTAGAAATGCCCTTTCAGAAACTTTCCCTATCCCAGAAGTCCATGATTCATCTTAGAAATTCTTTGTTGCATTGATCTGCGTACACCACCTGAGGCCTCATATTTTATTCCTAGTTGTTTAACTCTAAAAGGCAGCTGTAAAACATCACAGAGAAAAGCCATGCATGATAAGAGTGTGGAGACAAATCCAGAGAGGAGCATAACAAGCAAGAGGAGCATAACAAACATTTTCAGAAATTTAAACCCTTCACCACAGATGCTCACAGTGTCAGATCAGCACCCCCAGGAGACTGGATGGGGCATAGGAGCATCAAGGATTAACTCAAGCCCTTAATAATAGAGCAATAAGTGCCACATGTGCAATTTCCAAGTGCTCATAGATGTATGTTTCTTCTTTCTCTCCCACTTGTCTCCTTCAAGGTCAATTACTTCCACTGTGCAGCTGAAGAAACCAAGATTCGAGGACTACAGTGACTCACTTAAAGTCACATGGGAACAGGTTTGAATTCATCCTAACTCTTTTGAGCCTTAACTTTTCATTGGTTCCACTCTGATATTTGAAAAGGGAGATGTATAGATTTAGAGGGGGCCTCCTCTGCGAGTGTAAGAGGAGGAGCCAACTGTGAAGGAGTCTCAGAAAGAACCAGGACCCAAGGTGCACACCAGGGGTACACCAGGTAACCACATGAAGGCCCATTCACCTCATTATAGTCTTTCCCCACAAAGGGTGACAAGAACATTCTATGGGGAAAATAAAAGTGGCATGAAGATAAAGATTTGGGAACCAACCTTTTCACTGTTCGGTCTGTTCTTAGATCCCTGGTCCTGTCCACTTACTCGACAAGGTCCTCAAGCACCTACTACATAAGATAACTGTTCGAGGGGCTGGGGACACCATTAGCAAGACCAATCTCTGCCCTTACCAAGCTTACCCTGTGGTCTTCCTAGCAGCTCAGTTCAGAGGGAAGGAGCAGGATGGAGGCTTTAAATGATTTTCATTTGTTAGGGAAGGCGTGGTCATAGAGTAGGGCAGGTAGACCAGAATGTCAGACCACTAGAATTAGATTAGAACTCAGTCTGTCACTGGTGGTTTCTGAACACAGTAACAGGAAGAAGAAAGTAGCAAGCTGGGGATATCTGGGGCTATCTTTTTTTCCCTTCTTCAATAGGCATTTATTATTATTATTATTATTATCATTATTTTGGAGAGGTTTTTGCTATAGGGCATGTGTGTTTGCCAGAAAGACAGAGAGAGACAAAGAGACAGACAGAAAGTGAGAAATCACCCCCAAGGGGGATGGCCATGCTGCAATCCCTTCTCCTCCATTCTCCTCTTGGGATCTTGGGCATGCACACACACGCACCCAGCGTGAGTTTAAGCCACTGGGTCCGAGACTTGAACCATGGTCAACTACGTGGGAGTCTAGTGACATAGCCATTATGCCAACTGCTGGTCCCATATTGTTATTATTTTTAATTGCCAGAGGACACATGTGCTCATTAGAGAGAGACAGACAGGAGAGAGAGGGGAAGAGAGGGAGAAAGTACTTCCCAATGGGGTGTGGTCATATCACAATCCATTCTCCGTTTTTCCATCTTGTTGGGACTTTGGTCATGTATGCACATGTGCCTGGGGCTGGTTTTGAACCATGATTAAAAAATCTGGCTCTTTTAACCACTAGGCTATGGGGCTGACCCAGCACATTTATTATCTTACACTTCAGGAGGTCAGAATTCCTACAAATCCAAGGCATCGACTGAACTGCATTCCTTCAGGAGGCTGTAAGGGAGACTCCACCCATTCCTTGCCCTTTCAACCTTCTAGGGGCTGCCCATGTTTGGCTCCTGGCTCCAATGCTCTATCTTCACATTTGCAATCTTAGCCAGTGACCCAAGTTGCAACAATATAGCAGCATTTGTTTGTCTGGGATCAATCTCTAGCTTCCAGTCATTAATTTATAAGAACACTCCTGGGGGTGGGGGGCTTGTAGGTGGCATGGTGGTTGAGGGTGCTGGATTTCCACATGACTGACTGCAGTTTGAATCCCTTGTGGCTTGCTTTCTCACTTGCTCTCTCTCACACACTCCCTCTCTGGTTAAATTGAAATATATACATAAATAAAGTTAAATAAAATAATTCTTAAAAAAAGCACTAAATAAAAATTTAAAGAATAAACCTTATTATTATTATTATTATTTTAATAAAAAGAACACTCCTGTGGGTGGAGTGTTCTCTGCAAAAGAACATGATCCTCAAGGCTGCTTTGGCTGTCTGCTCTAATCTGTCTTTCATCACTCTTTGAGGGCATGGTAGTGTCCTCTACAGGCCACCTAGCAGCTGTGCGGGTCCATAATCCTGGATGTCCCCACATCTTGTGTTTGACTTGCCTAGGGAGCTATCACTGCCCTTCAGAATACCTGTTGGTCCATCAACCTGACCTACCACATGATCTCGGCCATAGTTTCCCATCTGCCATCGAGTAGGCTGCCCCAGGTGACCCCTGAGGGCTCTCCTTGCTGGGCAAAGGTTCCCTGCTCATGCCAGACATCAGTTTTCTGACTGGATGCTTTCGAGCCGCGACACCTTTCTCTGGAGAGGACAGTGAGATATTTAGCTGATGATGGGCTCCTTTTCTTCCCACTGTGTCTGGCAATAATGATGGAGCGTCCAGGAGTGCCAGAGCCATTTTACTTTTATTTTATTTCTTCCTGAAGTTCAATACTTTCCAAAGCACCTCTGCGTGGCAGTGCTATTTTCCTGGCAGGAAT